GTCCACTTTCCATTTTCAAGGGTGTTCACAGGGGCGTCCCGAGGCGGGGTGACACCCAGAGCGGGTACCGGGTGACAACCCGACGTGACATCGTCGCTCATGTGAGTGATGAAATCACGCGCTGTTACCGCTGTTGCCTGCCGGCAGCCATCTTCAAGAGTGGTGTCACCCGGGTGCGGGCTGCACCCCCCTAGTGGCGCCACTTGGTGTTCGTACCATCCCGGCGTTTTTATTTGATATGTTTTATTAGCAAATAAATGGTTATTAAATACCCCCCTCCCCCCCCCCAAAAAAAATCTCTGTCCCGAAAAACGAATTCATTGGGTTTTGATGACCGAATAATTGTCAGTCAAGCGCTGAGAGCTGAAACATGGACGGGTAATGAAGGGGAATTACAGGCCGGCACTGAACTGGTTAAACAAAGACATAAAATAAAGCGCTATAAACACATAAAGTGCATGAAATCCAAAATTCAATCCTTGTTTTAAAAAATGGTATAAAGTGATCTAAAAGGGCCGCCAATAAACCAAAATTCTACCTCCAAAAGTACAAATAAACGACCTGAACTTCGTCCCACCCCCTCTTAGACATCAGCTCACCATACAATGTGTGTGACCGACTCCCACTGATCGATAGAAATCTCCTCCATCCCCGGAACAATACATTTCAACTATGAATTCCCCCTTTAAGCGGCTGCCGGTGTCATCTCCCTAACGGCCGCTAGATGGCAGCCAAGAATCGTCCGTGCGGGAATGCATCGCATCACACTGGCCGCTAGGGGGGAAGCCAAACACTTGCGCGGCCGTGATTGCGGGAGGCGTGGCCCGGCGCTTCCCATGGCAACGCTCAGCGTCTCGTTGCCTGGCAACGTGGCAGACAGCGGCGCGAGGCAGGTAACGTGACTTTGTATCTGCGCGATGGTAAAATGTATCAAAATCTATCAGATATTCGCCTTGTATCGTCTGTGACCGGCGGGCGGATCCCGGTACAGCCGTGTGTGTGTGTGTGGAGGGGGGACAGAGGGCTGCTGCTTACTGACGGTGCACGCTGGGACTTCTGGTTCCACCAGGGGCCACATGTCCCGGATTCAGCTGGACAGTCCGGGGTTTTGAGTCCTGTATGTGCTGTTTCCGGGTTTCAGGCCAAGCTGAGACCCAGACACGGCACATACAGGACTCAAAACCCAGACTGTCCAGGTGAATCTGGGACAGGTGGCAACCCTAGGGCCACAGACTATATAAGAAGGTCATGCTGGAACTTATAGTTCCTCCACAAGCCACACAGGTCACATTGGATGTATCTGAGGTCCAGAGTTTTGCCTGATGCCCTGTGGATATTGCCCTGCAGGCAGCTTCACCTCTCACATGGCACACTCAGGAGCTGGGAGACGTCAGGTGACAACCTTTAGGCTTTAGGTGGCCTCTGACCCCAGAGCTGAAAGGAAAAGGGAACAAAAATAAACATTTCACCAGAAAGCCATCACAGTTTTAGTGAACATAACAATTCTTCCAGGAGCCCAATTTATCTCTCTCCATCCCCCATACTTTTCATTTCCCACCCCACCTACAACCACCAGTACCCCTCCCTCCTCACCCCTTTCATTCCCCACCCCCACCTACAACCCCCCAGT